CAACAGGCCAAAAAGCTTAACAGATATCTGACCAAAGAAGATACCCGGGTGGCGGGGATGGAGTTCTGATGAAGGACCCGGATTCAATCCCCAGCATCAAAAAACAAAACAAAACAAAACAAAACAAAACAAAACAAAACACAACGACAATACCAGTGATCTTGATGGAAATGCAAATTAGCGCCAGGCACCACCACAGACTTGTCAGAATGGCCAGTATCTGTAACAGGACATCGCCAAATGCTGGTGCGGAGTGGCCAGCAGGAAGTCTCACTCAGTGCTGGTGGGAATGCGAGAGCCACAGTGGCATGGTTTGCTATTACAAAACTGAGCACACTGGACAATACGGCCATCACCTTCCTCAGTGTTCATCCCAAAGAGCTGCACGCAGGTATTTACAGCATTTGTACTCATCACTGCTTCAACCTGGAAGCAATCAGGACGTCTTCCAGCAGGGAAAGCTTTGTGGTACACAGACTATTACTCAGCACCAAAAAATTATCAAGTCAGAAAAGTATATGCAGGCTGTAAAGAGGTGTGTTATGCACATATACCAGCTCCCCACATGAATGTAACCACTATGTACTGCAAACATGCACCAGCGAAAATACGGAGGAAGCAAACGCGCATTTCTAAGTAAAAAAAACAGCAAATTGGAAAAGGGTACATAATGTATGGTGCCAACATGCAGTATTCTACAATAGGCAAAAACTGCAGATGGCAAAGTATCTGGTTCCCAGGGGCCAAAGCGGGAGGGTTGACCTGACAGTTTAGGGAGTTTGTTACTCTGAAACAGTGACGGTGGATCCGTGTCATCACCCTGTGTCAAAGCTGAGCGGACGCTCGGGTCAAATATAGACTCTGGGTGGTAATGACACGTCAGTGGGGTTCACCAGCCGAACAAACGTGCTCCCCTGGTGCAGAATATGGAGAACGGAAAGGCTTTGCATGTGCAGGGGTGGGAGGGAACAGGATTTCTCTCCATCTTCCTCCCAAATTTACTGTGAAAATAAACTGCTCTTAAAAAGTCTTAAAAGAGGGGGCTGGGGACTTAGCTCAGTGGCTTAAGTGCCTTCGTGGCAAGTGCAAGGCCGTGAGTTCGATCCCTGGCACAAAATAAATAAATAAATAAATAAGTCTTAAAAATGATTATGAAGACAAATTCAATTAAAAAAATCACTGCTTCAAAAAAATATACGAATGGCCAAGAAGTGCATGGAATGATGTTCAGTATCATCAGTCATCAGGAAAATGAAAATTAAAACCATAACATGTTACTTTATATCCCCAGGCTTGGTTATAACAAAAAACCAAGTAACAGCAAGTGTTGGTGAGGATGCAAAAAGGTAACTTATAAACTGCTGGTGGGAATATAAAATGGTACACCCACTTCGGAAAAATAGTCCGATAGTTCCTCAAAATGTTAAATATACCAAGGTGCCATGCCTGTAATCCCTGCTACTCAAGAGGCTGAGGTTGGAAGATCAAAAATTTAAGGGCTGCCTAGGCAACTTAGTGAGAGCCTGTTACAAAATAAGAATTTTAAAAGGGAGGGAGGTAGCTCACTGGTATTACACTTGCCTACCAAACACAAAGCCCTGGTCTGGAGCTCCAGTATGGGGGAAAAGTTTTAAGTACAGTTACCACCTACTGTTCTAAATATAAACAATATATAAATGTATAAAATATAATTAGTGGTGTATACATCCCAAAGAAAAAGACATACCTTCACACAGAAGCTTGTAATGAATGTTGCTAGCAGTATTTTCTTTTCTTTTTGTCTTTTTCCTTTTTATCGGTACCGGGGATCGAACTCACGACTGCCTGCTTGCAAGGCAGGTGCTTATGCCGCTGAGCTAAATCCCCAGCCTTGCTAGCAGTATTCCTAAAAGCCACAAAGTGGATACAACTCCAATGTCCACCCACTAATGAGGGACCGGAATACAGGATGCATCCATACAATAAAAGTATAGCACGAAACTTGATTATGGTAAGTGAAGCAAGACAATCATAAAACCCTATTCTGATTCCACAACACAAATGTCCACAACAGGCAAACTCAGGGGCCCCGAGAGTAGCTCAGGGGTTTCCTAGCGCTGTGGGCTTGGCAGGGCACGCAGAAATGGGCAGTCACAGCCCTCGGGGATGAAGATGTTCTCTAATCCTGACTGCAGTGACAGCTGTACGATTGTGGATAGCAAAACAATTTAATTCTACATTTTAAAAGGAGGAGGGGTTGAAGGAAGGTAGGGGAATGGGGAAAAACATGTTATATCACATACAGGTACAAACTCCCTATGCTAAATGTGATCATTTTGTGTATTTAAAATGTACCAATAAAAGCTAATGCAAAAAAATTTAATACTTAACAAAATAAATGAACTACATGGTATATGAATTACATCTCAAAAAGCTCTTATGTTTAGTTTACCTTTCTGGATACTGTTACGTATTCTTGTCTTTATTATATTCAGGCTTCTCTGTAGTTTTACATAAACTCTCTGCAGTCTGATTTTTCTTTTCACTTATGACCAATCACTGTACTGCCAGAACTTTAATATTATGCAAACGGTGGCAGTATTAGCAAATTGACATAAAAGCTAACAGCACGGGTTCAGAAACCAGACCACTGAAAAGACTGCCACTTCCTAGCTGTGTAAACTTGGACAAGTTGTTTAATCTCTCTACTTTATTTTTATTTGTCTTTTTTGGAGACAGGGTTTGACTATGCAGTTCAGGCTGGCCTTTAACTCACTTTGTAGCCCAGGCTGGCCTGGAGCTCTCAAGCAACTCTCCTGCCTCAGCCTCCCAAGTGCTGGGGTTACAGGCATGCGCCACCACGCCCGGCAACCTCTTTGCTTTAATTTCTGTATCTGTAAGACAGAATAATGAGTTAATACATTCAAGGACCTTAGAAAAGCATGTAATAAATCCTCAGTAAGGGGGTTGGGGATTTAGCTCAGTGGCTTAAGCACCTGCCTTGCAAGTGGGTGGTCGTGAGTTTGATCTCCGGTACCAAAAAAAAAAAAAAAAAAAAAAAAAGACAAAAAAAAAAAAATCCTCAGTAAGGAATATCTTTTTTCTTTTTACTGGTACCAGCAGTGGTCACACAGGCAGACTTTTTTATCAACACGACAAGGTCTGTATTATTGTAGAACCTTTCTTCAGGGTTCCTTCTAACTTCTAATCTTTAACCGCTGATCTCAGAGGTCTGCCCTTCTCTCCCAGTAACCTGACTGCTTCCAGGGGTTCAACACCTACCAGTACTCGGTCCACCGTTCCACCAGCTGACATGTATCTGACGATGTCTGTCTCAGTTCCGTTCTGACTACGTGTGGGACAATCCTATTTGAAGGTCACATAGGGGCTTTGCAAGAAACACCAAGATTATCATCTCCCCCTAAATCTGATGTTATTAGTATTGTTATTTGTGGTCCTGAAGCCCCAGGGCTTTTACACTGAGTCACCCCATTCCTTTTAAAATTTTGAGACAGGGTTTTGACAGGTCACTGAAGTTAGCTTTTTTAATTACACAGGGTTTCAGCCTGTAGTTCAGGTTGGTCTTGAAACCAATCTGTAGCCCAGCCTGGTCTCAAGTTGGTGGCAATCTTCCTGCCTTCGCTCCTGAGTGCTGGGATTACAGGCATGTGGCACTGTACCTGGCTTGATGTTAGGCTTGAATTTATGAGCTTTCTTGGGCCCCAGAATGTCGTTCAGTGGCATAGTGCTTGCCTCACAAGTCTGAGGCCTCAAGTTCGATTCCCAGTACCAAAAAAAAAAAACAAAAAAAAATCTTCCCAGCTCAGCCTTGCAGAGTCCTGGCATTACAGGTGCACACCTTGCCCGGCTCCAGCTCTGTTCTGCACAGCAGTGGGTGGCACCATTCCCCCACCCGCTCACCCAAGGCATAAACCTGGGAGCAAAGCACGCTCACATCCTACCCATTCAGCTACTGGCAATTTTCTCTCAGAACTGTTCCATTGCTTTTTCTTTGCTCTGCTTTCTTTCAGAACCCTCCAGGAAGCTTTGAAAACTGCTCACTCGCAGGCCATTTAAATCAGGACAGAGATCAATGTTGTTTTCCCTGAAGCCCGAGAGTCTCTCCTTCAGCCTTGGTACGTCTCTCACTTCAGCTTTCACCGTTCTGGCTTCGGGCTTCGGCTGTACAGGCTGGGACAGCTCACAGCCACATCGTCCCCCTCCCCCTTGGCCTTCTTGTTCTTGTGTCTTGGCCCCCACCCTCTCCTCAAACCTGGCTGACTTCACATAGGGCCTCCACCACCAGGGAAGGGAGTCTCTGCCTTGCCAGTTTGTGTTAATCAGGGAATCCTCTTTGCACTGCCTGGGTGCCCAGCAGGTACCCATCCCTGTGCTTATCATGCCGCTGGCTAAGCACCAGCTCCCAGTCTGAGCCCTCTCCCGCCCCGAACACCCAGCACCAGAACCGCTCAGTGCAGGACATCCAGGCAACTTTCCGGAGAGGAGAAGCCCTTGAGAAAGAAGTTGTTTAGGCAGGCGAGGACAGGTTAGATTTTGAAACAAATTTTCTTTTTGCCCAGGGTCGATTAGTTGGTGTAACACTTTGCTAACACTTTGCTGGGCTCCGCCCCGCAGGCACCCACTGCAGCTGTGCACGCAGCTTCCTATTTTGCACAGTCTTGCTCCATGTCAGCTGCAAGCTCCTTCCTTTTAGAGAAATGTTGTAGTAAGAAGTGTAACATCGTCAGTCCACTGTTATCTCTATTATATTTTCCTTTACTTTTGTAACCAACAGTATATGAAAATCAAAATCTCTTTTGCTTTTGAGATGTATCATTATCTCAGATCAAATTATTTCAATCTTCACCATTTAAAATTTTTTCCCCTGTTATGTAAAAAATTTGCTATTCTCTATGCAAAGATTAAGAAAAAAAATTCTAAAGACATTTAATCAGAACTACATGTAACGATTAAAAACAACTTTTAAAGGATGCCTCAAAAGAAATACACAATACAAGTAATGTAGTTTGTGTCCTTTTTAATAAACATACTTGCATAGTTATATTACAATTTCATAAAAATAAAAACATTATTTCATGCCAAGCGTGCCCAGCATCTGCACAATCTCAATACTTTTAATATTATAGTTTTCGAGACACACAAAATAAAAATTTAAGGCAAAAACAGCACTTTGCAACGATTTAATAATTTATTACATTACAGTAGCATCACAGCAGCATCCAATAGTGTGCCACTTCAGGCAAAAGTCTTTCAGTATTTGCATCATAGATTTTATTTACAAGAATTTGTAACTTGGTAAACTTCATTCTAAGAAAACTTGGCAATTAAGCTTTGGACTGGACTTGGCATTTCTTTCTTTACCCCCGATACCAGTTTATTTCATTTAAACTACTAGCATTCATATTGTGTTTTAAGAATTTAAGTAGCAATTGCATTTTATGTAATTTTACTTCAAAATTACCTTTTTTGGCCTTTTTGAGGCAGGGTCTCACTATGCAATTGATGCTGGCCTTACACTCACTTTTCAGCCCAGGCTGGCCTCTAACTTGCAGCGATCCTCCTGTGTCAGCCGCCTGAGTGCTGGGATTATAGGCCTGCAACACCGCCTGGCCACAAAATTACTTTTTAAATTACGGTTTTAGAGAAAATTATACAATGGACAGAGTTGATTTAAATTTTCTTAAAAATTCAGCTTTTGTTTTAGAGCTGATTTTTTTTCATTGCTGGAAAACCCATTAAGTCTAATCAAATGATTATCACATATTGCAATCCTTAAATAAGCAAATATTTTTATTCTTCCTACAGTGTTCAGATGTATTTAGATGTATTCTCACTTAAACATTCTCTATTTCTAGTAAACGCTTTTCTTCTAAGCAAACTGAAAGCTATCCTTACATTAAGAGAACAAATACACAGCGGAATGAGGTATTGCAAAGGGTTGCATGCACTGCCGAAGGCTCAGGCTAACAGTGTATGTCGTACACCTTTTCTTTTAGCTTTTTCTTAAAAGATGCTTATTGTGATTTTCTCTGTGCTGAAAGAGCCTGCACTAGGCATGTGGCAAAACACCTACAGGAAGAGTTGTATTTCAGTTGATACAATAAACAGCTTAAACCCCGGCCAGCACGTGACTCATCCACGGAAACCTGATGAACACGACTGTCAGGCTGATGACAGGTGCTGAGCTCAAGCCAAACGTCATCCCTAATCATCCGCACGTGTCAGTGTTACCGTGCAGGGACTTGGATTACAGAAGTATCTTTAAAATGACTCATCAGCGTATTAGGAAAGCATAAATTCACACTTATAAGGAAAATAATGTTATACCAAATCATGTGGTTAACTAACAGTGGTCTGATTTCTAACCACAATATTTAAAGTAACTGCCCTTAAATTGAAATCAATTGTAAGATTGCAAAAGCAGAAAGTTCAGGAGATAAGAGGTGAGCCCAGGTAATCACAGAATTTGGAAAAGTCACTTGAATTCACAAGGACTCAATATTTGCACAGTCTCTTTTAGCGACTGCTGGCAAATCTGTTATCCACCTGTAACAGGGTATTATTATTGCTTTCCTATTCCTGTCCTGTTTGTAAAAGTCCAGTGGCAATGCCAAATGCTGTAAGAGGAGGCGCTCTAATAACTGGAAATCCCCATCCCAGGGAGCACAGAAACATCTCTCCCTATACCCAATAATGAAAAGTATTTTGGAACACAGATATTTGAACTTCATGAAGTTTTAACTAAATCGCTAATTTTTCTGAAATTCTGTAAAGTTATAATTTAAGCAATGTATGACTGAACTAATCCATTCATAATGCATAGGCACATTAACATAAGTATTGCACAAAATATGCTTTTAACTTAAACTGAGAGATATAAAAACATATTTTCTTTTTTAAAGAACCAGGTGAAGAAATAAGACTGATTGTATGTACACTTTTCCTGATAATACTTAATCACAAACAGTAGATTGCAATGTAGTTTGTAAACATTTTAAATTGCATAAAGTCACTGATTTTCAAACATGGTTTAATACTATCTATTAAAAGTCCCTTTGTCTCAGCTAAGCACTCTCATATACATTAGTTTATAACAATGTCTGTTATTTCTAAAGAGTTCGCCATTCGACACAAAGAAAACCCTGCGTGCAAGCAGCCGATGTGATTGAAGAGCCAAGAGCTGGGTGGTAACATCCATCTCCTGGCCTCAGAGAAGTGCAGGGATGCGGAGAAACGCAGGCTGCACGCATCCTGCCTTCACTCCTGAGTCCTCCTGAGCTAAAGCCTGCTTCAGGGGCACTTGAAACTCCTCACAGAGTCCTCATGGTCTTCACTAAAGACACCGAGAATGCCCACCAGAGTCCCTTGGTGTACCGGGACACAAAGTCACCTATTAAAATCTATAACACGAGCTCTGAGTTCAGTAAACAGATGTAAGTAGGGAAGGGCACATGTCAGCAGCCGATGTGCACCTTTCGTTTCTGAAGAGTCGTTCGTATCTTTAGTTTATCAATACAGAAGCAACGCCACGTGCTACCGCACACGGTGCAGGATCTTCATTAGCCAGAGAACATAAAGACCCTAAAGGAACTTCCGGAGTACAGCGCTCCTGCTTGGGCAATTTAAACAGACTCAACACATCCCATTCTGCACACCCCTGCGACAGCAGGCCACCTCTCTCTTCCACAAGAAAAGGAAAGTGCCCCACAGATGTTACTGCTCCACTCCGATTACACAGAAAATAGAGAAAAAGTTACATCTAGTTCTTGGCGTTTAAACAAATCTAAACATTGGCAGGTTAGAAAGTAACAGAGAAAACAGCACGTACTTAAGGGCAAACTGCAGATTGAGCCAATTAAGAGCTCGCGTGATTAGGGTTAGATCAAACACAACAGCAGAACATAAGCAAACTTCATCTTAGTTCTGTAAGGAACATACATGTTGCAGTCACATGAGAAAAGCAGCCCATTCCGAATCAGAGAGAACAGTTTGTGCAAATAGTGGGTCTTTGTGTGTTTGAACTCCCACCGTGCAAGGGCAAACTCAATAAGCATGCTAATGACCTACAATTACCAAATTAAAAAAGAAGAAAAATGTTAAAAGATGCCAGAGTGAACAGAAGGGAAAGCCACACAAAGACCCACTATCCTTGAACTGGTTACAAATAAAATTTAACTGTCAATTAGAAACACAAAGAAATAATCACAAGTGGTTCTAACATTCAATCGAAGTAAGGAATTGTGTAGGAGATATTTGATCAGGGCTACCTGCCCTGCCTCCAGGCTAGAGTCAAACTTGGATAGTGGGTCTCTGGGGTGCTTTCACAACTGGAAGACAACAGTGGGTCCTAAAAAAAGAAAAATGAGGAATAAAATGAACATAACATAAATTAGGTGGGTGAGAAAAATCTGATTTATAATAATATGCAACATCAACTCAACAAATCCAAACTATTAAGACTCTCAACCTTTAAAAATGTTCTAGTCACATAAGAAAAAGGAAGAAATACTCATAAACCCCAGGGAAACACAAATGGTCATCTGTAGGTAACCAGCTCTTCACAGCTCATACCAAGACTATAAACAGATGATGCATTTGTAAAAACCTAGATAGGCATAAAAAAGGTCTCACACTGATTCCTGACTTTAAGGATTAAACATTTTCTGAACCACATCTTGCTATATTACAGCCTGATATAAACTTAATGTGAGTGATTTTAATAGTTACCCATACAATTAGCTCTGTTCTACATGTCTGAAAGAATTGGCATTATTCAATTTCTAATAAATAATTATTTTAAGCAAAACTGTACTCCTGACACAAATGGTTACATAAATGGTTGTTTTTCAGGAATAATAACACTTTCTCAGAGGAATCGATTCAGGAATTTTCCTAAGAATTATAAAATTGAGAAATCTTTTGGTCCGGGATGGATGATAAACTTTTAGTCACTCACTTAAGTGAAATAATATTTAGTTTTCAGAGATGATCATACTAAAAAAATACATCAACCCAAAACAAAGTATATAGGTAAGTTACTGGAGGTAGTTTTATAACAAAGAGAGCTTTGAAATTGTTTGTTTTGAACTCATCCCTTGAACATTCTGTCTTCCCAGGTCTCGATAGGTGAAACGATCAAGGAAATTGCTGGCCCGCCCTCCGAGCCCGTCTGTCCTTCTAGCTAAGTTTACACTTCATCTCTAGCTCAAATACCCTTCTCGGTGTGGCCCAAGCATCCAGCCTTCTAGCCTCACGCAGCGTTAGGGAATCATTTCCCAACACGTGTTTGTATAACTATTCATTAAAAAAGCAATAGTTATATTCAGCTGGATGTCTGTTTCCTGAATCTAAACTCTAAAACCATCAGGGCAGGGACAGTCTTCTCATGCTCACGCTTCTAACGGGTAAGGCACTTACAAATCCACTGAACGGGGCTAACATACAGCCCCCAAACAGAAACCGAAAGCCAAAGCACAAGGGAATTTTGTCCCTTTAAAATGACCGAGGAGGTCAGCTGTGGTTGTAGGGCAGCTTTTCTTTCTCTTCTTGTTTGTTTCAATATTGCTATTTCCTTGTTTTACTTGAGGCAGAGTTTAAGTTGATTCTTCTGTAGACCTGGGCTGTCCTATCATACAGTAGCTACCAGCCCCAAGTAGCTATTTGCTTTAGACTAAGAGCTGAGTTTGAGTCCTAAATGCTCCCAGCTACGTGTGGCCGGCAGCCGCGTGCTGGATGCTGCGGACTGTCCCCTGCGGAGGGCTCGGCGGGGCCCTCATTAGAGGCGTGATTCGGCCAGTTCTACCCAATTACAGCAGCAAACAAGGCCTTCGCTGGCCAAAAGTAACCTGTATGACAAGTGTGCCCTCTGATAACTAATTCATGTCAATCTGTTTTCTGTATCAAACATTTACTGACCACCTACTATGTTGTTTCTTTTAAGAAACAATAGAAGCTGCTACTCAGTTTCCTGGGAAGGTTACTTTCCTAGGAGGTTGTCTCCAACACAACAAACTGTTTTAAAAACTATCACTTAAAAAAAAATAAAAACTATCACTTTAGGGTACAGACTCTACAGAAACCAAAGTGCACCGGTACAATGGAATGACGCCTGGGGTCACGGGCCAAAGATTTTCCAGACACAGGTCTGAAAACCCTCTTTCCCTCTTAGCTTCTGGAACGATGCTGCAGATAATTCTAACCTGATTTCTAATTATCACTATAAGCTGCAAAAGCAGCAGCAGAGCTGAAAAACGGTCATTCCTTAGGTAATCCAAGTTGTTACTATTTTTTTACCATTTCTTCTGACACTCTGAACCATTTCTGAGACTACTCAAACTCTTTAAAACTGAAGCCCCCACCTCTGCACTAAAGGAACATCCTCCTCCAGAACTATCTTTCAGCTCTAAGGTGAAAATAAAGTATAAAATTACAGACATGGTATTAAACAACTTCATAGCTCTGGCACTGAATCATGAATGTATGTGTTTTGACCGAGTTACAGTTATATGTTTCTAGCAACTAAATTAAAATGAGGAACGCTCAACCTATTTGAAATTTCACTAGAGTGATAAAAATATAAATCATGACCTATTTCATAAAACTAAAAATACAAAAGATGAAAAAGGCGGTATTTTATAAAGGTAAAAATTATTTACAAGTACTGTTTCTTCTCAGGTAATCACCATTGCTTTCAGACTTGGAGCCCTGGTCTGAAACAGCGGGCCTTGGATCCAGGCGTTTCGCGGCCTGAGGCAGCCGTGTAGGAGTCCCTGCCCGAGGCCTTCACCGCAGTTACCAGGCTATTTTCCTTCTAACCGGGCCACCATGTATAAGCAGGAGGGAAGCAAGTGAGGGGGCTGTGAAATACTGAGGGATAACTCTCAACAGGTGAGCCGGGCAATTACAGCACTAGCTGTTTTTAATTAAGGTAAAAAAGAACACTAGTGGTGGACCCACGAGAGCAATGGACATGTTTCAGATATGCTCTCCTGTTAAGACTGGAAGCTAGCAAAGAATATTTAAAATAAAACAGCGTAACTTTTGATGCTATAGAACATTTCGTTTTGTTCTACATCAGTCTACATTGGCTCACTGTGAATTCGAGATCTGATCCAGAACAGTAATAAATGTTACACTGTGTATTACAGTTTTCATCGCAGACGAATAGTAAATAATTGCTATTACTCACACTGTTGACTTGGATCTGAGTCTGTGGTCATCTTCACGTAGTTCGAAGGAAAAAGCCCAGTTACTCCGTTGATTTCTCCTTGCCACCAGTCAGGGTCGTCTTTGTTCATAACGTTAATCAATTGTCCCTTGGAGAAATTGAGCTCATCCTCATTATTGGCTACATAATCATACATAGCGATCACCTGACACACTATGGAAAAGAACAAAAGAATTAATGACTTCTTTAGGCCTCAAAACCACCTCTAGGATTTAAATTACTTTAATATTAAGGATTAAAGTACACTAAAGTTTCTCTTGAACTGTTTTTTTCCCCACCCTCATTCCTTGTCTTACAAAATTGAGATTAACCACTCTAGTTAAAAATTCAGCTGAACTGCTTCCTTCCATGTTGAAACATTTCAAGGAGAGAAGTTCAGGCACCAACGAGCAGCTGGTTGTTCTCACCAGAAATGTTCAGAGGGAAGGTCTTGTGGTGTGTTATTTTTAAAGCAGCAGTAAGGAAAAGACAAATTTCTCCTATCTTTCAAAGATAATTTAAGAAGTTGCTGAATTTTAGCAAAGTTCGCTAATGGTACTTGAGCGATTTCTGAAAAGTAAAAATACAACTATGAATTGCAGACAAGTTAACCCTCTTCCATACCAGCATGAAAGGCAGGGGTGGCTCTTTCACTACTTGGACCCAAGAGCTTAACGTGGCTGGCAGGGAACCATCCCTTCTGGCGTTTTCTTCCTCTGGCCTATAAATCAGCAAAGGGATATACAATTGAAAGGTAAGATAAAAGTGATCACTGGGACATAACTTGAAAAAACAGAACAGAACTTCTGGCCGTATAATAAAGGATGTAACACACGCCTGGCTTTTGCACTTGGCTGCGGGGGCGGTAATCAATTCTTGGACTCGGCGGACTGGGCAGTCACTTAGTCTCTCAAGGTGAGTCTCTCTTGCTCACCATGAAATAACCGGAAGGCTCACTACAGTTGTGGCTCCGAGTGCTGCTGAAGATGCCATGTGCAGAAGTCTGCCTGGTGGTCACTCAAGCCTCGGAGTTCTCCAAATATTTCACAGAAATAATATTTATAACCTAAGAGACTTTTATAGAGTTCTAGTAGGTTCAAGACAACGCTTAAAATGGTGCAGCTGATTGCAAATGTTTTATGAAACTTTGTTAATAAATGAAAAGACTTAAAATTTGTAAAGAGTTTTCCAATCAGGTAGGTCATCTTCAGAAGAAGACAGATGAAGGAAATTCCGGGGGTTCTTCAAGAAGAGACTCAGTTTGAATATTTTGCATTTCTGGGAGCCCTAAGGCTCTGAGTTTCAAGAAACAAGTTACATTTATCTTCTATGTTGTAATTATTATTAATTTTAATAACAATACAGCTATCATATCTCTCATCATTCATCAACCTTAAAGTGCTGTTTTAACCACTAAGAAAATTCTAGAAGTGACAAAAGAACGCTCTTCTGTTATCAAAACATTTGACAGCCACCTGCCAGCATCTTTTTTTTTTTTTTTCTTTTTATTGGTACCAGGGATCAAACTCACGACTGCCTGCTTGCAAGGCAGGCACTTCTGCCAACATCTTAAGAAAAACCTGACTCTTCTAAGTCTGTGCTAGGTTTGCTCAGAGAACAGTTTTTTTTGTCTTTTTCCTTTTTATTGGTACCGGGGATCGAACTCATGACTGCCTGCTTGCAAGGGAGGTGCTTATGCCACTGAGCTAAATCCTCAGCCCCTTGCTCAGGGAACAGTTTAACGGGCAGTACGGCGGCTCCTTGGTTCACAAATGCTGGTTTGTAAATAATCTGGTTCGCAAACAGAAGCGGCTGGCAAAATTTTGTTTTTATCTGGAAACTGCCGATGACAAATACAACTGTGGCCATCTTTCCCGCACAAACACAAACATGGCCATCTTTTCCAAAGCTGTAGATGAGTTAAATTCATGAACCAAGGCGCTCTGTCTTTTCTCCGTACACAGACGGGGCCGGGCGTTTCTTCCCGAAGGGCAGACCACAGCCCGCGGCCGTCCCCGGCAAAGCTGCACTAGGCTTCCTGCAAGACACCCTGCAGTTACTAAGGGATCATCAGTGGAACGCAATTACATCTGCAGGGAAATTATTCTTTAAAATGTTATAATCAACCAAGCTGTGCTAAAAATAAATAGGCAAAGGACTAGGGGGAGACCTGACACACTGAAAACGTTGGCACTGATTCCCCCTAGGTGCTATCATTACAGAGGGATGACAGAAATTGTTAAACTGACTTTATCTTTTTATGAGCATGTCTTACTCTTCTAGTAAAAAGGATAGATGCTCAAGCACATTACCTGAAGCTCCCCTTGCCACCATCCACTTGTATTTTTCTTTAAGATCAGTATTAACTGTCCTGGTGCAAGGCTGAGCTGTTCAGCACCAGAAGCAACATACGCTGAGGTTACTTGAGCAATTTCTGAAAAGAAGAACACACTGTGAAGTCAGGACGCCGACAGAGCAAACGCTGGAATCACTTTTCAAGCTCTTCATTGTACATACCAGGTTTTTTGTTTGATGCTCCAGATTTGTTAGCATTCCCCAAATTCTACAAGGAAAAGACATTGGTTTTATCATTTCCTACAATCCAAATGTAAAAGTATTGCATTTACTTGGAATGAAAGAATTCTGATCCCCAGGGTTTCTTTAAATGAATGTCAAAATGCCAACGAACCTTACAGTAACTAAGTGAAAAGGCCAGGCTCACCCAGAAGCCCGGTCTGCTAAGGGACCACTCGGTGGACAAGCAGCACCCGGCCCCACAGGATGAGCTCGTCTCCTGAACTTCCCTGTACTACTCAATTCATCAGCTGGGCCAAATGCACTCCATTCGTCAGCACCAGCAGCCAGGCCCTGCCCCGGGTGTGTCTGGGACGTGCGAGACAGCGAGCGCCTGCTTCTTACAGCCCTGACTCACCTACGCCTCCCACGGAGCAAGAGGCAGTGTCTTTACCTTTTACCATGCTATCCCTAAACTGACTGATCTGACGTAGGAGCAAAAATATTCAGACCATGGGTGGCAACTAAAACTTTTGCTGTCATTAAAATATAAATGAGACCAATCATATTTTCTATTTTTTAGGCATTTATGCAAAACAAGGAAAGGGGCTGTTAAAAAGAATTTTTTTTCTGTTACTGTACATAGGTGGAATGGAAGAATTAAGCCGAGTTGCTGGGAGTCTAACATTAGTATTTTCTGAGTACTATGTAACAGGAACCGATCAAAGAGGCTACACAGCTTTCCCTGTTTAACTTTTAGAATGGCACCACTATGATCACCCTTATTTTACAGGAAAGAAAACTCAGGCACAGAAGTATCCTATCCAACGCCAAGAGCTCCTCCGTGGTGCAGGCACCAACCCAGCTGCTTACGCACTGCACTAAAGGTTCTTAGCACGCAGTGATACGTCCCCAGGAGTAGCCTCTGGGCCCCTTCCCAGAGTCTGTGGGATGAAATGACCTTCATGGCAATACTAAGGCAGTGCTCGCACACTGTGTTGCCTTAAAAATAGCGAGTAAGGATGCGGATGCACACCTGCCATCCCGGCACTCAGGGGGGCAGGGAGACTATCTGCCTGGGCGCCACAGTGAGCGCAAGGCCAGCCTGAACTACAGGCAGGATCCCGTCACAAACAAGTAAGCCCTGCTGGTGCCTCAGCGTGAATCAAGGCAGTGGCACCAAATTACACTCTCTGTCACAATGTTCTCCAGTGTCATATACTCCCCACAAAATATGCCAGTTTCATGTAAGGGCGTCCTTGATAAGATACAAGAAATTTCATTAAATCTTAATCTCCTTTAATACACATCTTTAATAATAATAATTTTGTGTGACTAAACAGAAGTTGCCTAAAACATTTCTGCTGCAGCGAGGCACACCTATAATCCTCGCCCTTAGGAGGCTGAGGCAAGAGATCTCCATAAATAAAAGGCTGGCCTGGGCTACACAGTTCAAAGTCAGCATGAACTACGCAGTGAGATTCTGTCTCAAAAAAGGAAAGACAAAAATGCACAAACAAGCATTTCTGCTCCCTAGAAAGTACAACGATTGTTTCAAGGAAAAGGACTGTGTGAAATAGACTGTGAACTAAGCTTTTTTCATGGAACAACATTTTTACTCCAAAAAACTGACAGGTAATTATATAGCCTGGTGATTTAGCAATTAATCTTCTCAAAAATGAAATGAAGTAAATCTTTCACTTCAAATTAAAGAGTTGGCAGGACTTACTGTCAACAATAAAATTCAGACTTTCATAGGAAAATAAAAATCTTGGAAAACATTCAGACATTTCCAAGAAAAATCTTAAAAAACATGAGTGTGACAGCTCTCCAGGCGTTTCCGATGAGTGGTGATATTCATCAGTGTGATTTCTGGATATCACTTAATGAGGTGATTCAATATTTTCCAAATGAACAGTGAATGCCATTGCATTTCATGTGGATAAAAGGTTCATTCAACGTGCAAAGCAGAGTAATAATGTAACAGTAAGCAAATTCACTGATACAGCTTCAGAGTCCAAGTGGCACCCAGCCTATCCGAGCCGGCATCTGTCAAGCTGTGGTATAGCAGAATCAAAGCATATTCAGACACCTGGAATATGTCTGCTCCATTTTTTCCCATGTCTGTATCAGGTAGAATTTCCCCCATATAACACATAATAATTAAAGACTGCATATAGAAAGATATTTCAGAATTTTGCTGTCTTCAATTAAATCAGACATTAGCGAGATCAGTAGAAATGTAAAATAATGCCGTTCTTACTAAATATTTTTCTTGAAAAATATTGTGATTTTTCATAAAAAGTTCTTTATGTTACAATCCGTAGATTTAGCTATTATTATTATAATATGGTTGAAGATCTCTTTTTTTTTTTTTTTTGTCTTTTTCCTTTTTATCAGTACCAGGGATCGAACTCAGGACTGCCTGCTTGCAAGGCAGGTGCTTATGCCGCTGAGCTAAATCCCCAGCCCTTATTATTATAATATGAATTAATAAATACTTAAAGAACTTTAGTTATTCTAATTCCTAATATGGTAAATATCACTAAATATAATCTATAAGTAGATACATACTTTAAAAAAACTGCTTGTGGTGTTCCTCAATAATTTTCATTTTCTGAGACAGACCCTCGCTGTGTAGTTCAGGCTGGCCTCACACTCAAGGCCTCCCACGTGCTGGGATTATAGGGGTGAACACGCCCAGGCGTGTAATTTTTAAGAATGCAGACAGCCTGAGAACTGCTCTGTACCACGCTGGTGACAGAGGCAAGAGCAGCAGGAACCCGGAGTGCAGCGCCTCAGAGCAGGCTCACGCCCGCCACGGCCGTGCACGGTCTGCAAAGCAAGGGGCCCAGAACCTCTCCTGAGCCCCAGTTAACCCGAGGCCCAGCCTTCCTCTGACTGTCACCCCTACACTTTCATAACTCCCCTTCTCATCGTCCACTGAAACCCTGCAACAAAATCTTGGGCGCTGAGTCACCCTGGGGGGCTTCCTTGTAACCAAAGTAGGCTGACCAACGCCATACTGTTTTAGGAAAGAATCCTGAACTGTAAGAATAGAATGACTTTGTTTTTAATACAAAATAACCCCACCTCTTGATCTTTCGGTTTGACATAGTTTGACGGGAAAATTCCAGTCCTGTCTCCAATATTTCCTGTCCACCATTCTCCATCTTTCTGTGTCACCAATATTTCTTCACCTTCTGTGAAAGTCAAATCTCCTGGTTCTACACTTGAATATGAATAAAGTGCAATATATTCTGCAGGGAACAAAGCAAAAGGGGACTGTTATTGGAAGATTACAGAAGTAAAAAAGAAACTGGGTTACTCTGTAACATCTCGCACATGTTTACCGTAACAGCCCTCGTCCGTCCCTCCGGTATGAAAAGGTCTGAGCAGGGTGTGGCGGCACATGTCCTAAACCCAGCACTCTGAGACCGGAGGCAAAAGGGTTGAAACTCAAACCCAGGCCCAGCAACTTTGTGAGACCCTGTCTCAAAATATAAAATAATGAAACAAAAAAAGGGCTGGGATACAGCTCAAGCAGAGGCCCTGGGGTCAGTCCCTAACTCTACCACCACCACCACCAAAAAGAAAGAAAAAGTCCTGAAGGGCACACTTGCAGCACCTATAAACTCGGCAGAAGGATCACTAGGTCAAGACCAGCCGAGGAAACACAGAACTTGGCTCAAGGGCAAAAATAAAACAAAAAGATCTGAAGGTAGAAAAAGGATTGAAAGCATTAATTATTTAATAATTGCTTAGGGGCAGGGGATTTAGCTCAGCGGCATAAGCACCTGCCTTGCAAGCAGGTGGTCGTGAGTTCGATCCCCGGTACCAAAAGAAAAAAAAATTGCTTAGAAAAATATTTAACAAAGTTTTATCATGGGGTTTCTTTCTTCTCCCAATTGCTTTGCTAACGTCATTATTTTTTAATCACTAAGAATCTAGTTAAAACCACAAAGTATTAGTTATACATTCTATTAGATATAATATATAGTTATATATTAGAAATATATTTTAAGCTGCTGAATTCTCTGCTCTTTAACTCCCTTATCTGCATAGTTGTATCTAGGAGACCCTACTGCTAGAAACCAATTTCCAGTATAATGCCCCAGACCCTAGCACAGTGCTTGGCTCTAAGTAGATGCTGAACAAGTATCTGTTAATGACAACCTAGAGGAAAATGCATACACTTTTATCTTAGCTTTGGTTTTTGTTCCTCGGATTAGTACTCCTTAGAAGAAACAGTCATTTCTGGGTTTCAGATTATCTTTTACTTTCTCTTCTAGTTTTATTTGTATTTGCCAACATGTAATTTGATCCTAAACTAGAGATGATCTAGATCTACAATCTAGCTACCATTCAGGTTTCCAGTATTGCTCAATTTAGCTGATTTAACAAAACTAGAAGTAATGACAAAGTTTATATAAATAATGCAGTAAGTAAAGTCATTTCCAAAATGCTCCTCACTACTTCCTAGGTTGCATTCACAGCCCTCATCCCACAGAACTCCCACGAGGGCATCACTGCTGGGGACCCCCAGATCCCTGCAGTGCATGGCCACAGCTCGGCTCACTCTATGTCTAGAAGTGCAGGGTCCTACTCCTTGCTGACGATGATGTGACACTGCTGCTTCTGGGGACGCATAGCTCCTCTCATATCTAAGTTGTTTTTGCTCACTAAATACAGAAATAAATCATAACCAGTGGTGGCGAACCTGTGGCACACATGCTGTAGTGGGCTGCTAGCCCTAAGAGGTTCACCATCACTGCTGACCGGCCACCCTCTCCGTTCTACTGTGAGCTGTTTAGAAATTATGTCTCATTCGTGTATCTTTTAGACTCCAACATGGAATCTTTTAGATGCTGACTAAATTGTCATTAAACTGATTTTTTTAAGCAAAACACGGAATGATGGATGTACTTCAACTCTTCAACTTTATAATGGTCATATACATTCCAATTATAAATCGATGTAACTATCAAACAGAAATATTGTCTGAAATTAGGGTAATCTTTCATTTTTCACATTAAAAAACTCAAAATAATTTATTAACTGAACTCAAAAAGCTATCAACACAAATTCTTTGCAGTAATGAGTACCATAATTTCAAATCCTAACTAATGATTTATATAACACATTATAATTGAAATGTAGTTTGTAGACAAGTACATGCACTAACATTTTCTTACCTCCTAAAAATCTAGTCAATCACTGTAATACTATTTATTTATAATCTTTTTATATGGTGCCATTTTTTAGCACTGACTTCCTAAAAGTGTGCATATTTTCTGTATGAATAGATACAGCACATTTTCCAAAACTCAGTTTAAAAAAAGGGCACAGAAACAGGGAGACTGACATCATGTGAATTCAAACCATGAGTCAGTCATGGAAATGACCGCCATCTAATCACAACTGCCAGCGCTCACCTTCTCCGACTGGATGGGCTGTGGAGGCAGGTTTCTTATTTATAGGTGCATACAAAGCTTCTGGTCTGCCAAATAAACACACCACAAGAAACAATAATGAACAAATGGAAAAAACAAACAAGCCAAAAAACAAGAATCGTGATCCGATGAACACAGCAGTTTCCGCAGGGGATTGTTTTAGGGCTTTTGCAAATTGATTCGCTCATTACAGTCTAGCAATCCTTTCAAGCCTCGTTATAAACTTTTACACTTTAAAGTAAGTTCAATACGATTTACAGTGTTTCTAATGTGAGAAAGTGTGCTTTTCAGATGGAACTTAAAAGATACTGGCATATTAGTAGGTGAGTAGTCTTTGGTAAAGCATTTATGGGGCTTGGCTCGGGCAACGTAGGTCTTTTATTTGTTTATGGTATATTACGTTGAAAATACAAGAATAATAAAACCTTTCTTAGATCTCAGAACAGGCATAACTTAGTTTCCAATTTAATCTAGGAAAACTGTTTTCAAAAGTCAGGAAGACTCAGGTTTACGAACTAGACGCCGGTGAGAGGCGCCAGGCCTTCAGGCCTTGGGGTAACTTCACAGTCAACAGAAGGGAACCCTTGCTGAAACACAAGGCCAGGCCTGCAGCGGCTGCCTTGCTTAGGGCTGAGTTCTCCATTACTGCACGCTCTCAAGTTATCTTTCAGAAAAAACAGGCAACTGAATGGGAAGTTAGAAGAAATACCCTCTAAAATATGTAAATGTTATCTCCCTTTGCTTAAGTTTTCTTTTGCGTAAAATGTTAAAGGAGATTAAGATATTTCCTATGAAGAGCCAAGCACAAAGCCGCCACACAAATTTCGCTATGTGTAAAGTGTTACTGTTTCATTCTTCCGAAAGTCCACCCAGTTTGAAAAGCAAATTCCTGTATTTGAACTAAATATTGTTAAGCAGAAATTCAGCACTGAAAGAACTCTTAAAAGATGATTTAGTTCAATCTTTTCATTCTATCAGTTAGAAAGCTAAGACCAAAGATTGCTCTGTAAGGTCTGGCAAGAACGTCAGAACCAGCACACAAGCCTTTTGGTTTCCCCAAACCACGAGGTCACACTGCCTTTCTATCCAGATCAGCTTGTATGTAAAACACAAAATCTAGTCACCCACTGCCATATGATAGCACTTATTTCTTTGTATTACAGATATTTGGTAACTTTTTTGTTTGTTTGTTCTGAGGCAGAGTCTAGCTATGGAGTGCAGGCTCTTCAGACGCATGCTGATCCACCTGCCTCAGACTCCCGAGGGCTGGGGTTACAGGTGTGAGCATGCCCAGCGATATTTGATAGCTTGATTCCCCAACAGACTAGGAAATAAAGGCCAGAGATCTTAACTCTCTGGCTTTTGGTTTTGCTCATCTGAAAGTTCATTTGTTTATTTCTTTCCTTATTCACGAGCTGATATAATTCAACAGTCATTATGTACTAAGATTGCACTAGGCATGAAAAAACTGAAAACTAAATACCAGCACCAACAGAGCTGGACCTGAAGCTCCATGAGGTTCCTCAATTACAATACAGGTTTAAAAGACCAGCAACTCTAGCACTCTGTGCTCTGAGCAATAGTGAAGCCACGTTTGAGGAACCTGGAGACCCAGGGACAGGAGGGCTTCAAGCTGGTAAAGGCGAGGACCTCAGGCAGGAATTATTTGGAAGCTGGGTGTGGTGCAGCACAGCTGTACTCCAGCACCCAGGAGGCTGAGGTAGGAGGATCACAAATTGAATCCCCACTCGGGTGTTAGGGAGTTAGCTCAGTGTGAAGGTCCTCAGCTCAATCTCTAGTGCAAAAACAAAACAACAAAAAAGGAAGGAAAGACTGAAAATTTTTAGTAAACAAGGGAGAAGGGCCATGAAGGAAATAAAAAAATAGCTTTTCTAACTGAGCTTATGGCACAAAGAAAGCAATACATGTATATTTTTAAGTATAATACTTAGACAATTGAAAACACACTAGGAGAATAGTCTAAAACTGGCACAAAATTCTGCAGTGTGCTTTTTCACACTAAGAACCACACTTTGGATCCCGAGCTCAAGCCTGAACTGTATCACGGCGAGTCTGTCACCCAGTGACCGCCCCACTAGCGAGGGCACCGACACCCAGTCCCACGCGAGCAGAGACTCACTCTCCAGAGCGCTTGGCTTCACTCCCAGGAATGATCTTGACGTACGATTTCGGGAACCATCCTCTCCCTCCGTGGACCTCCCCAAACCACCAGTTCTCTTGCTGCTCTAGGACGGTAATGATGTCGTGCTTTGAGAAGTTCAAGTGGTTCTCTTTCTTTGCAGTCCAGGAACAAAGGGCCTGTGCTTTCAAGTTTTCTACAACCTGCCCCTGTGAATACAAAGCCACACAGAGGAGCTAAGTAGGATACTGGGAATGTCAGCTTCCTAGCAGACAACACGCTTTCTGTTCAAACACATGGGTTTGGTGTGGTGGTGACCCAACTGCAGTCTACTAACTGTCCTAAAAGTATGTAAGAGGGACGGCCTGGTCCGGGCAGACTCCCTGAACACCCACCGTTCAGACAGCACCCTAGTACAGAGGGGAGTGGTGGGCACTCTAACCCTAACCCTAACGTCTTCTGAGTGGGCACTCTCCTTAGAATACACTCTCTGCTCTGTCACGCCCTCCCGTGCTTTCAAAGGACTTTGTAATCACTAAAGGCCTCTTAGCAGTCTCCAGTTTCTTTTCTTTACTTTCTTCTGTGTAAATTCCCTAAAGAAAGAACTGTCTTAAACTTGTTTTCCAGGATCACCCCTCCATCTCTTACGATCTAGGTTTTGCACCATCAAACTACTGAAATTATTCCAGATGAGGCTATGAATAATCACATAAAGGGAGGAGCTCTCCTCTCCTGACCTCCGAACAGTGCTGACGTCACTACACTGTAAGTCCCTGAAGCTCACTCTGGGAATTAAGGGTTCCCCTTGGGCAGCCCTCTGCCGTTCCTGCGCCACATGCCTTTCTGAACAATCTCATTTATGCCTATAAATCTATACTTCTCAGTGAGCTCCCAACCTGTACACTGACATGCCAACTAGGCATTCCCACTGGGTGTCTCTACCGCACAAACTTCAAGTTACCATGTTTGAAATGTAATTGCTTTCAGGGTTTAGGACCCCACACCCTTTCCATCTGCACTGCCTGTCAAAGACAGGACCGCGTCTTTTCAGCTGCTCAAGTTAAATTCTCTGAAAATTATCTTTAACTCCGCCTCCTTTTCACTCCTCACTTTCAATGGACTATTTTATGTCAACGCCCAGTACCACCCGTCTATTTTCATTACCACAACACTGGTTTACACTCCGCCTTGTTACTCTGTTACTGTAACAGCTCTTCTGAACTAACCACCATCTTTTGCTTCTTTTACCAATACAGCCTGCACACTACAGCTAGGAGCTCTTCTTTCAAAATCTTTCCTGCTGGTCAGTGCCAAACTGCTCACCATGGTATTAACTGCTTCGGCAACAAACCTCAACTTCACTCAGACGCGCTGCATGAATCCTGTATTTCAGCTATAAGATAAGCTATTCTCATTTTCTACAAATACTGCACTTCCCTGAAAATAAGACAGGACCAGGAGATCAGGCCTAGCACGATGTCTTTGTGGATGGTTATAACATAAGCTCCACTCCTCCACTAAGCCCAGGGAGGATCATCAGCCACGTGGATGTACTTTGTTGCAGCACATGGCAGAAATATAAAATTATAATACACAAGCAGTTATAAATAACATTGGCACTAATACTTAAATGGTAACAAATTATTATTATGTAGTTGTAAATACTCAAGTAAGCACCTCTGGATGAGAGGTAAACACACGAACTTATTGCCAGTGACCGTCAGGGTACAGACACGTTACATGAATAATGTGTGTACTTGTTACAAATGATATGCATGTGTCTATATGGATCTTTAACAACTCAATACATCATATGCTGTAACAGATGCTCTTAATCCACTCCTGTGAAATAGAGAAGTATTTTCTGAATTTTGGTGCCTGCAATTTTTTCTTCACTTTTGTGTGGATCATAATTCTTATATATCAACGCTTTTGTGGTCATTCCTGTCTCCTAAGTCTTCAGTCAACACTCAATTTAATAGAAATTTTGTAAAGCCTCATAAAGGTCGAGCCTTGGTGGGGAATTTATGGGATTAAATCACAAAAGACTGCTGTGTTGCCAAGGCACTGCAAGCAGGCTACATGGATGTGAAGCGCTTGCTTCAGGACAGCTCTGCTGATGGACAGAAGAGATGGGGCCAATGGCTCTACAGGAAATGGAGCCGAAGAATTCAGGATGGAGTCTGGGTTTGGAGAGCTATGACAACGCTCCAGAAGAAGAGGACCCAACTGACAATGGTGTTTGAATAAATGCAGATTTTTGTACATGATTGTTGTACGCGAAAAATAGGATAGCCCTTAAAAATAAGGCCTTTGGGTCTTTTGAAGCAAAAGTTACAGGAAGACTTGGCCTTCTTTTGGTGAAACAGGGCAGCTTGCATTGCTGGCTTCAGCGACTCCCAAATCGTTCTCCCGCTCCAGCAGCTCCTGCTTGGTGCAACCTTGCTTATCTCTGAAGGGCCTTCCTGTAGTGACGACTACTCCAGCTCCCAGGCTAAGATGGTCTGTCTTTTCACTCAGGACTTGGTAAGAATTTCTACTACAATTCTCACATTTTATCATTATTTGTATGTCTATCTCCTTTATTAGATTATGATCTACTTAAAGACTTACAGGGAGGAATTTTTGACTTATTTCTTCCTAAACTTTATGAACAATAAAATGCTAGAATCTCTAATTATTTAATAAACATTTATGAATGAAGGTGAATCCTATGGGATTTTATTGTGATAAAAGCCTGCAATTTCTTCTCAGAAATATCGAAGTAAAATACCTGTCTGTGGTTGTATCTAATTCAGAGGCTAAATATAAGTAACAAACTTTTAAGGTTCTCAGACAAATTGCTTGTTTTAGAAAACATAAAAAGCCCTCAAGCCCAAACTCTCATCTCTTTGGTACGATGGTAACTCACTACTGAAAATGGTCTAATAACCATTCTTCAACTTCACATCACCCTTGCAGGCTAAGAACTTTGGTTAGGTGAGTGCATAATGCCTTTGTACACCGTCTTCCTTCAATTTCATATGAATCAGAGCAAATTCGAAAAATAAAGCACACAGAACTTACACACCACATACCTGTCCATGAATAGGTGACACGGACCCAGGGGACACAGTGCGAGTGAAAGCTGACTTTTTCTGCCATGATGTATTAACAGTTAGGTTTGAAAAAGACACATTTTGATAATCAGTCACTGATGCTGGTTGCTTTGAAGAAAGTGGTCTGCAAATATAACACTTTAATATATTTAACTGTTTAGACTCTAATGAAGTACTACCAATTTATCCGTTAGTGTGTCATATACGCTCAGTTCAAACACAATTTATGGAAGAAAATAATACATGAACAAACGACTGACCCATGTTTTAATTTGACATATTTCAGTATTAGATTGGGAACAAAAGGTTCTCTTGTGTGGCAAAGTCCAGCCCTAACAAAACAATACAAGGAAGTACCGGGCTGACACAATCACATGTTAGCATTTACGTCTTGACAGCGACATAGGAATTTCACTGCCAACTCAAAACTTACTCAGAAGAAGTTGAGGTAGCAGACAAAGACACTGCAGGAGGAAGTAAGGCCTTCTTAGGGGACGCGGCTTTTTCACCAGGTGGTATCTTTTCTACATAGTTGCCTGGAAACCAGCCAAATTTTCCTTGAAAACTGCCATAAAGCCAGTCAGGCTCTCCTATGATTTTTTCATCCACCTTTGAAAACAACAAAGAAGAATTACTAACACTGCTTAGAAACCCATGCATTTACAACAGCAAAAGGTGCCGACTACAGCATTCTCACACCCAGAAGTGAACCCTCCTAGCTCTTTGTTCCTACAGTCTTCATGAATTCTTAACCAGAAAACCTCTGAAGACTGTTTTCCAATAGGTAAGGCTTTTTTTTTTAAAACAAATTAGTAGGTTACTATTTTATCTAAGTGAACACATGAAAACAGTTTTCAAAGACAAACAGTATTATACACAGCTTATGCGGGCAAACACTCTCTTGGAACCAGGCTCGTTAGGACCCGGTTTCTACTGCCGAATCGTAACTGGCCTTCCTTCTTGCTTTCTTCTCTGTCACCTTCCGTATCTCTAAATGAAGTTTATCTGCTGTCTCTCACCTTTTCAGTTTTAGGCACTGTTTATGGCTTCTGGTTATAGAAAATGAAAACTGACCTCTCGCCGGACTCTCTTACTCTGCCATTATTGTGACATCACAATTTCTGTTCAAATTATATTTAACGTTTACATTATGATTACACCAACAACATGAGTCTAGCGATATTCTGCTGATGACATTTCCCTTCTTATAATTTTTCTTTCCTTCCAGTTGATCATTATTTTGTCTTTTAGCTCTTTGCTCCTACAATCTTCATGAATTCTTAACCAGAAACCCCTGGAGACTGCTTTCCAAGCGCCGTGACACCAGCTGAGCTGTGCCAAGGGCCTTCTTGCCTCTTGCTACCCCTTCTGAACAGGCCTGCGCTCCCAGGGTGGTGGGGTCCTACGCAGCGATGAATTCCAAAGCTCTGTGCTCAGGGCTGACTTCTTTGCAAGAACACTCTGCTTTCCACCACTTGCAAGATGGTTCGACCTGGATGCTCCCTGAGAATTTCCCACTCAAGTCTCAGACCCAACTTCCCTCCACACCCACTCATCCCTAGCTCACTGTTTCTCCTAAATGCTCTATATTTCTATTATTACAATTTGCCAATGTAAGCAAACGAAAATCTCTGGCTGTTATCTCATACTTCTACAGCCAGGGACTTTGTCACTAAAAACTTTTGAATTCTTTTTAAAAACTCACTCTTACTAACCTCATTCAGGCTGTGTGTGTGCTTCACACTGAGCTACATCCCATCCTTTCTAAGTTACTTTTGAGAGAGGGGCTCCCTAAGTCACTAGTCGGCCAGGCTGGGCAGAACTTCAATCCTCAGCCTCCCGGAGTGCTGGTGGGGTGGAGTGTGCCGCCACATCCAGCAACGCCTTTTCATTTTGTTCCCAAGATTACTGTAAGCTTTACTGATCTTGGAGGTTCTGTTAACTTACACCAAATCAGGCCAGTTATCTCATCTCGACTGCCACAAACAGCGCATCACTGTACTGCCGACGTGTGCACACATCCGTTTGCCTGTGAGCCTTCTTACCGACTCCGTGTAGCACACTTTGTGTCTGCTTACTTCACTGAATAAATATGGCAGCTATCTCTCTTCTCCATCCTACTTTCCGTTAAAATCGTACAGAATCTATTAATATTTATAAAAACAGTTGAGGGAACAATTAGCATTAATTTCACATTTAAGATGCTAAATTTGATGTTTTAAAATATTTATGTGCCTGTGAAAACTCACCTATTGTAATGAATACACCTAGCACCCCCAAAAATTTCTTCATGTTCCATGGTCAATCCTGGTCTATCACTATAGATTATAGTCTGCACTTTCTAGAAATTTATATAAATAAAATCATATAATACGTATTCTTTTTCCTGTTTGTGTTCTTTCAGTCAATTATGTTGAGATCTATCCATGTTACAATGGGTATAAATCACTCATCCCTTTTTGCCCAATTTTAATTTCTGTTAGTCATGTTTGCCGCACACACTGACATTCACCATGCACTCATTTCCTTTACTGCGTCAGTAACTGCTTCATACGGATGTGTCACACTGTGTCACACTTCGCCGGCCCTCCCGCCTGCTGAGACACCGCTGAGTTGTTTCCAGTCCTTGGCTACTACGCGTGAAGCTGCCAGGAACATTTCCCTTCCCATGGACACAGCCTTCCAATCTCTTGGGGAAATATCTGAGAGTGCAACGACTAGGTCACGTGCAAAGTGCACGGTTTGCAAATAACGGCCTGTTAAGACGTAATTCACACACCATACAGAAGCTAAGTCCATGTTTGCAGCTTCTAAAACCCAGACTGCGTCCATGACGTCCCAGCAGCTCCACCAAGCGCGGCGCCCTGAATCTCCTCTTACTCCTCCACTGTACAGACTGTGATCACACAAGAAAGAGCTTTGCTCCAAGGAGAAGCGGCCTCTATCCAGTTAGGGATGCAGTTAAAAAGTAACTCCAATGCTTTTTAACACTTACCACAGAATAACTGGTCCCTCACAATTTTCCTTTCCTTTCCTTTTTTTTTTTTTTTTTTTTGGTCTTTTTGAGACAGGGTCTTTCTATGCAGTTCAGGCTGGCCTTGAATTCACTATGTAGCCCAGGCTCAGCCTCCCGAGTGCTGGGATTATAGGCGTGAGTCATCATGCGCCAAAGGTAAAATTTTCTTTTCTTTATTTTTTTGAGACATCTCACTACGTGGTTCAGGTTGGTTTAGAATTTGAGGTGATTCTCCTGCCTCAGGCTCCTGAGTGCTGTGATTACATGGTTGTGCCAACACTCCGGTGCACCATCAAAATTTTACTTTTAATTTATTAAAATAATAAAAACACTATCTTTATAATATAAAGCAATATGACAAGTGAAAAAAATACTGGACTTGGGAGTCAAAAGACAAATACTTACATTGCACTTTGGCACTGCAACGCTGACAGTTTCAATTTGTGAGAGTCTAAACTTCCTTGCCTAGAATATAGTAGTAATAACAGTTCTTGCACACTTGTGTTACATGGAGGTATATTCTAAGGCCCAAATGAGACAATGTTTATGAAATATTTTTAGAAAATAATTACTGCCAGGTGTAGTGGCACATGCTGTAATCCCCACACTTGGGAGGTTGAGGCAGGAGGGTCGCTGTGAGTTCAAGGCCAGCCTGAACTACATAATAACAACCTGTCTCAAAACAAAGAAACAAAAATCAACAGTAACAACAACAAAAAAACTATGAAAAATTTTGGTCAATGCATTATTACAGAAAGTAATTATTTTACAATGTATTCAGCTTATTTAGGAGAAAAAAGGCTTTATTTTCCTACCTGAATTATATCTCCAGAACTGAAACTCATCTCATCATGGTTTCTTGCTTCAAAGGAGTATAACGCTCTATAACTCACCAAAGCAGGAGCCGTCTCACCTAAAGAGAAGGGAACATTATAAGCTGCTGCTTGCATGTATGTACATCTTGGCTATGACTTAATAAATATCTCTAAAAAACTGAGCATCCAAAAGGTACAATGAAAATTCACAGGATGCAGACTTGTGAGGACTCAAATGTCCCGACTAATCATAAAATCGATATAAAAGCAAAGAAGGATGCTCGTCTCAAGGAAGGAGGCAGCAAAACCCAGGGAGGCGTTGTGGGGCTCTGAGGCTGTGGAGCCGTGGCCAGGCCCCACTGTGCAGCGGGAGGAGATGAAGCCAGGTTTCATCTGTGGGGTCGGAGCACAGGGAAGAACACGAAGGTCACAAACGACACCAACAAGTAACCAGGCTGGCAGGAAAAAAACCAGATTTACCAGTGAGGTAAACAGTGAGGTCAAACAGGAGAGTTCACAAACCCTCTCGACTTGGTAACATTAAAACTTGTTCACTTTCAGATTACATGCTTTAGCTTGTTCATAAGAATTGAAAGGTTTATGCAAGAAAAGGAGGACGCAATCATACTAACCTACTCTAGGAATGGTGCCAGAGGGATAAAGTATTTCTGTTGAGAAAAATTCACTGTGCAAAAACTTAACACTTTACTGTTGTTTCATTAAAATAAACAGCTTAGTTATAGTGACTGAGTAAAATATTCCAAACTATTATCAGTCCTGATGGAAGCCATGCCTGCATATTGTCCGTCAGTGGTAAACTATCCCATTTTCCTCCTGCAGGAGTAAAACTTCTGCCTCTGTTTTCAAAGGCCCTTATACGTCTCACCCAAGGTTAACCTTAGGTGTTTTTCTGGGATGACCATCCTTCCGTGCTTTATTCCTGTATCTTCTTTCTCCCACTAGGTTGCTGCACTGTCTTAAGGGAACCGAGTCTACGCCTATCTTTCCTTACCCTGCTTCTCTTCAGCTTTCCGGTCCTCTTCCTGAATTTTTTCTTGTGCTTTTTCTTCCTGAAGTCGCTTTTGTTTCTCTTCTTCCTCCTTTCTAAGACTTTCTTTCCATAAGTTTTCTTTCTCTTGCTTTGCTTTCCTTGAAGTAGAACAAAAGCAGTTTGTAAATGCCACAGTGTTTTCTTTCTTTCTTTTTTTTTTTGGTACCTAGCACTTGCCAGGCAGGTCCTTAGGCCGCTGAGCTAAATCCCTGGCCCACAATGTTTTCTGCACACTAAAAAAAAGTGTAGGGAAGTTCTGGGTCTGATGAGAACTAGCAGTGCAGAGAGTTGCAGGATGGGGGTGCGGGGAAGAGCGGAGCTCGGGGATGAAACTGGAGCCAGGCCATCAATCAGGGGGGCCCTGAGTGAGGTGGCCAGCTGGGGAGTGTACCCACAGTTTCCCACACTTCCTGTTCCCTCTTGCAGCCAATGTCCAAACCCGAGGAGAGGAGGAGGAAAACACCAAAAAGGGGCCCGTTTTGCACAAGATCTAATAATTGTCCATCCAGATTCCTCGCGAGCTCTGCCTTCCAGCTTTCACCTCCCTGGCTTCGCTAGTCCTTTACCGGCTGCTCTGGAGGTGGAAACGCTTCTGAGAAGCTTATTTTTTCATATTATCTCCTCAAAAAGCCTCTTACACTGGCTTAGGTGACGTTTTTCTCTGTAGGACCATAGGAACATGCTTCTCGCATGTTTCTATGTCATCTGATTGTCGAGATGTTTACTTTTTATTTATTTTTTTTTCAGACAGGGTCTCGCTACATAGCCCAGGCTGGCCTTCAACTCAGCAGTCCTCATGCCTCATCTTCTGAGGCTGGAATTACAGGCTGATAGTCAAGGTGACCCACGATCTGACTTAGTTATGTTACTGTTAGAACAGCTACACACTATAGCTCTCTCTTGCATGTATTTTTATGACCTTCCTAAGACGCAGAACGGCCACCACTAAATTTAGCAGCTTCTCAAGGCACAACATGGGGAGTGAAGACTAATATAACCGTGTGCCAACAGAAAATTCTAGCTGTGTCACCACTGAAAAATCCTTTGCGAGATGTTAAGTGGCAAATGAAGAACTCCACTATGTCTACTTCTGTAGCACTCTATTATTCCTGCTTAGGAGCCACAGACGTAGGGATTTTGGAATAAACAGTATTCAAGCTACCTGTCTGAATCATCTACTATATAAATTGTGGTCACAAATGTCTGCCTGGCAATTGCAAGGTCCTGAGTTTGATTCTTAGTACCAAAAAAAACAAAACAAACACACACACAGATATAAATTATGAGGAATCCAGAAACAAGTAATAATCCAGGGCTTATCAGTAACACAGGCTACCAATACTAATTTGTCAGTAAAAATGTGTTGAAAGTGGCTTTTCTGAAATCACTGAGAATGAAGCCTGGCTGGGCACAGTGGTGTACCCCAGCACTTGGAACCCCAGCACTTGTGAGGTAGGGAGATTGCTCCAAGTTTGAGACCAGCATGGGCCCCACGGTAAGCACTAGCCTGGACTACACAGCGAGATGCTGTCTCCGAAAACAAGCAAAACAGAACAAACAAATACAAAAAGAAGTCTGTGAGCTGGTAGACCACCTTTCTCACCTCCTCAGTAACTACTAGCTCCTTGTGGATGTTACTATTTACGCTACAAAAGCGAAGGAATATTGGGTCACTGATATTTGTTAACTACCCATATAATTTCCGACACTAGATAACTTGAAAGAAATGAAAGACTACAGTGGAAAAGGATTTTTTTTTTTTTTCATTTTGGGGACTGAACCCAGGGCCTCCACACTGGGTTACATCCCCTATCCTTTCTAATTATTTTAATTTTGATACTGGGTCTTGCTAAGTTGTCCAGGCTGGGCTTGAACTTGGGACCATCCTGCCTTAGTCCCCTGGCATGCTAAGATTACAAGTGCGTACCACCACAGCTGGCCAAAAAAAGAGGATCTGCTGACAGAAAAAAAACCACATGCAGTCACTGAAGGAATGGTTCTAGGCTTTACACATCCCAAGTGTTTTACTTCTCAAGAACCTGTTACGGACAATCAATACACTGAATCTTAGTGGCATACGGAGAACTGCACCAATACAGCATTGGACACAAAATCTTTTTCTATAAAATTAAATAATTGGTTTTTATGATCTTCCCAGGAAAGTAATAGATTTACTATGGAAAGACGGAACTAATGAGTGCTTATTATGTACAATACATGCTCTATATTAATTTATATAATGTTCACTACTATTTATTAGAACTGTATATATTAATGTCCTTTTTTCAGATGGAGAAACTGAGGTCTCAGAAGGTAAAGTGACTTAACAATGGATACCCACGTAGTAGGTCGTAGATGAAGAATTCTAATTCAGGTCTCACTCCGAAATCTGTATTTTTAACTAGTGAAACATAAAATTCATGACTGAAAAGGAAGCTGAATTTATAAAATTTAGAATGTGACTAGCATCCTAGTAACATTTTTTTACTTCTTTCAAATTTCAATAGTTTAACTGAAGATACAGGCAATAAAATTAGAATTCTACCAGCAATGAAGTATAAAAAAGTTATACTACCTTGTAGCCTCATCTTCTAGTTTCTTTTTCTGGATTAGTTCTAATCTTTTTCTTTCAATTTCCTTCAGCTTGTCATGTTTGATCTTATAAAGTTGTTCAAGAGCTCGTTGCTGTGTATTGTAGCTTTCTCTCAGTTCCTAAGGATAAAATGCAAATAAGTCAATACTTGTATGATTTAGCCTCATCTTATTTAATTTGATGTTCACATTAAATGACAAAAGTCCTAATGTAAGTTAAAGATTTAAACAATCTTTAAAAATCTAGGTGATAAAATCTTGAATACAAGTATTCAAGTCAAGCAGCTACTAAGACAAATATGTTGAAATGCAAAATATGTAAAAAATACTTTCATGCTAGTTCATTTCTCAAGAACACAGAATCTTCAAACCAATTCTTTAATTTGGAATGGCATTTTCAATTGAAAAGTAATTCAATTAAATACAGGAGGATAATTTGCTTATAATAACATTTAAAGAGGAATCGTCTTCCATCACTTATATATATATATAGTTCAACCAAGTAATCAGCAACTGTATCCATTATGATCTTGAACACAAGCAATTATTAAACAATTTATTCTGAAACTAAAAATGCAAAAGACAGATGTCATATCTGTCTAAAACTATGACTAAAATGAGCCAAAATAATGAAAAATACTGAATTTCAAACAGGAATTAAAATAAATAATTGAACAACTGAAATAAACTTACTGAACATCTAGTTGTGTGCTAGGGGCTAAAAAGAATCTGAAAGAATTCCAGGATCCAATTGCAAGCTGCCTCCTCCTAACTCCCCCGCCCTTGGCTTCAAAGAATTCACAATCGCTAAGTGCTCCAATGCAGGATAAAGAGGCGAGCCTTCCCAGAAGCCTGGTTTAGTTCTGCTGCGTGCTATGTCCTTCTTCCAGCACCCCCCTCCCTGTGGGAAGCTGTTCTCCCCACCTGTCTTCTGGCTTCTGGTGGGCCTGTCACTCAGCACCCCTCCCATCCCGCTCGGGGTGATCTCTACTGTGAGACTGCAGAGGGAGGGTGGGGCGGCCAGCAGGACCAGGCGGGACTGCGAGCTCTGCACCCTAGCCCCGAGCTCTGCACCCTAGCCCCGAGCTCTGCACCCTAGCCCCGAGCTCTGCACCCTAGCCCCGAGCTCTGCACCTTAGCCCCGAGCTCTGCACCCTAGCCCCGAGCTCTGCACCCTAGCCCGCCGCTCACAGCCAGGAGCAGCTCTTCTGCCATCGGTCACCACCCCTGCACTCCGCCAGTACCCACCTGGCGGCTGAACTATTTGGAGGAGGACTTCCTTCACTTGGAATCTCATTATATTAGAAGCAAAGAGATACTGGATGAAGGAGAACAACAAACAAAACAAAAACCCTGAAGTGTTCAAAAGAAATTTCATGACAAAGGTGGGAGCTACACACTATTTGGGTACGATTTGCTTTTCATTTCGTCTGTGTTTTTCATGTACGTGTGATACGTGGCTCTTCTCCAAATTTAAAATAACCCCAGTGAAATGTAAACATTTTGAACTGATTCAGGACATCAAGGAAACTGTGACAGCACCCTGAAAGACACACATGGAAAAGGGCTTTTGGAGCTGCTTCCCATGTAGCAAGAAAAGGGAGACGTGTTTAACGCCAGGCCAATATTTAGAGGGCAGACTGATGGCAATGTGCCTTGTACTGTGATAATTAAAAAGCGTTTGTTTTCAGTAGTACCTCTGTCTTACCTCTTGTTTATATATATACACATGCTTTTTTCTTACAGCTTCTCACACTAATGACACAATACAATGTTTCTTAAAATTTAAACATGACTATTTTCAACACCTCAGGTAACAGCTACAAAGCAACATAACTAAAACGAAAATTCTTATCAGACACTGAAAAAGTCAGAACTCAAAGTACTGGCTCAAGCTGAACAAATGAACACTTCGATAATACATCAATCCTGTAAATCAGGTATCAGGACCCTCTTTTTTCCTTTTTCTTTATCATGAGCATTTCTGAGGCTCAGAAGATTAAGTGACTTGGTTGAAATCCTGTAGTTCTGAATCATTTATACTGTATCATTCCATCCTGTACCATGAATTCTATACTTACTTTCAGTTGAATTAAATAACTCAATTACTGAAGTAGCTATTTTGTTTCAAAACAGCTGCTTTGCTATTTTTTGGCTGGGAAAACATTTTAAGTTTAAATGACTCAAAGGAATTTCACATAAACAGTGCTTCCTTTCTATTCTAAAAGGTGACCTGAGGCAAACAGCAGAGCGCGTGAGCACCAGGCTCTGAGGACGACCCCAGGCCCGTCTCCCAGGGCCTGTTGACCCTGGTCACCCCCGGACTTCGGGAAGCCATCGTGGGCCTGCTGCGAGGAGTGTCCACGGCAGTGAAAACTGGGAGAGAAGGCCACCACGATTCCTTGGTGGAAAGATCGCGGATGAAACCTTCTCCATGGGGTTATGTCACCATGGTTCGTGGCTCTGGCAATTTTTTTTTTTTTGGTAAAACAGGGTTTTTTTTTTGTTTTTTTTTTTTTTTTTTAAAAAAAACAGGAGTTTGCTATATGGCCCAGGCTGGCCTTGAACTCACTATGGAGCTAGTCTTGAACTCATGGAGCTCCTCCTGCCTCAGACTCTAGTGCTGGGATTACAGCTCTGTGCCTCTACAAATGGTTCACAATTTTAAAATAATTATATGCTGCATTTCATCTCAAATATTCACAATATTATTTTGAGAAGGGATCTGAAAACCACCAAATTGTTGAAAAGTCCATGGCATAAAAACAGTTGAGGCTCTGCTGTAGAAACCAGTGTTTCTTTCTACCCTGTGCCTCATGCAGCGGCTCTTAGACAAACGCCTTCTACTAGTATTAGACTTCCCTTGGAGAAACCAGGTTCGAAAGGCAGGCCTGATGCTCTCTCAGGGAGGAGGAACACGCTTCATTAACCCTTAGGATCATTCAAGTTGTAAACTTGTGCAGGCCTGCGGGATGGTGCGCTGTATAAAAGACTCCTTCTGCCGGCGTCTGAATGACCCTTTTCGGAACAATTCTCCTGGAGTACAGCCCATTCCTAATTTGGGGACTTAACTGTATTATGGTTTAGGAAAATTTTTCCTAACATCTAACTAATGCTCATTGAAGTTTTTATTTACAATCCGAAGGACTCATGTTGCTTATTGCCAAAATCAGTTAGCTTTATTACACTTGCATAAATCAAACTCCCACCTTGCCAAGGAAGGAAGGCTGTCACTAGCACAGGTTATGCTAGGTCCTGGGAAGCACAGCATAAGACTCAACTCCCTGGAGAAAGTCAGAGTTCTGGTGTTGGCAGACTCTGTCTTCCTTCCACACAAAAGCACGTTCCTAACCATCAGCCACACTAAACAGTGATAACTTCTCAACACACTGAAAGGTGTTCTGGAGATTCTGGACAATTCCTTCCCTAGTAAGAGTAATAAAAATACTGTACCTGTGTAGCACATAAAAGTTCAAAATCAGACACACGCACAAGCACTTACATCTGTGTTATTTCATTTCTACCCTGTAAGATTCTTTAAAGACAAGGCAGATATTGTTAGCTTTGTTCTACAAATGCTGAAAACAAAATATGGGGGGTAAATGACAAACAGTTACAAAACTAGCAAGTGACACCCACGTATTTTCTAGGTCCCTAAGCCAGTAATCTTTCATTGTATGTCACACTAGCATCAACAATGCATGAATTTTGAACCAGTTTCCACCCTCCCTGTGACCCCTCCTCCTGTTGATCTCTTCTGTCTTACACAAGCACCCCTTCCTCTCCCCACAGCCCTTCACATCTGCTTCACATTTCAGAGTTCACCCCGATGATAATTCTTATGCTAAAATCTGTAACTCCACGTCTCTGCCTCTTGGCCCATGTCGTATGAAAAGCCAAGACAAGACGAACCCATGAAACGTTCGGCAGCCTGGTCTGTGCTTGCACTTACGCAGATGAACATCAGCGAGAGCCACACCATCAGGCACGCTATTTTCAGTGTAGATTTACGACCGCCACCTTTAAGCCGACCCCTACACTGCCCAACAGCCTACTCTACCAAGCCTGCTGCCCCTTCCCCGTTAAGACATGCTTTACGCCACTTCTCCGCTGACACTTCCTGATCTTTCCTTTGCCTTATGAAGCCACCAGGCCAGAGCCCTGTTATCCCATTTCAAAATCAGTAAAGCTTCCTGCCTCTCCGTCCTTCCAGGCCCCCCATTCCTTGATAGCCCAATTTCCTGCCGACTCTGTCTTACAGCAGCCAGTTTCTTGCTTTTCAATAACCAGCTGCACAGCATCACACGCCTTTTCTTCTGCTGCACCGGAAGCGTTATTTCTAGGTGCTCCTGCAAGCCACGCTCCAGTTTCTCTCCTAGTGCTTCCCCAGAGACTGTGCTTTATCAATCGCCACGCACAAGTGTGTAACACACCGATTATACTCCGTCTCAGTTTCTCTTTTCCTCTTCATCTCTTGTCCTCTCGAGTCTTTCCTGTCCACCCGTTGTGTTTTCTGTCAGCCCTGTCCTCTGCGCACTCCGCAGCTGTGCACGCTCACTAACCCTTGTGACGCCCCTTCCTGCCTGATCCGTGGTTATCCAGCTTCTGCTTACCACTGTTTTTTCCAGAGAAGCCTTCACAGGTATCCTTGCTGACTGACAGTTAGAGGGTATTTTTCAGTACTGCTGTGCTGAGTGTGGATGGCCCACCTGAAGATTGTTGCCAACATACAAGGGAGAATAGGGGAGGAAGAAGTGGTGGCCCTGGTCTCCCTGTGGCTGCTGGCTCTCCCGGGGGAGCAAGCCGAGCTCCTCTCCTGACATGCACTTGGCTGTTTCCAACGTGAGAGGGGCTTGGGACCCAAGTGCTGCCGAGAATGCTTGTGGCTCACTGCTGGGGCACTCTGGCCCTTACTTTGAGCACTGCTGCCTGGTACTGGAGGGAAGATGGTGTCCTGCTCAATCTCCTTGTAGGGAGCCGAGTGACAGGCATTGCTGCCTAGATGTCTCTCTCTCTCTCTCCTATGGGCACTGCGTCTGCCTACATTAACCATAATCCTCTTCTGCTTACGTCACTTATCCGGATGTGATGGTAACCCTGTTGTATTCATCTGTTTAACC